GACAGGAGAAAGAAACCAAAAATAAAAAATAAAATAATAATTAAAAAAAAAAAACAACAAAAAAACAAAACTACAACCTCGGAATCATTTAATCACAGTATCACTCAACACGACAGGAAAGGTTCATGGCTTTGTGACCAGCGCCGGCAGCGCGGCGCTCAGTACAGCACAAACGGAACCAAGTCAGTAGGTCGGGGCCGGCCGGGGGCTCACCAACATCCAGTGCTTTGATGCTCAGAGTCCAAACGGGTTCACCTCGTTGTGCAAGTGCTTTTCCAAACGCTTTTTGTAGGAAGGGAACAAGGAGCTGCTTCGCAAGAGCGTCTGCTGAGAGTCTTTTAAGTGCTGAGCGGGGAGAAAGGGGAAAACTTCCACCACCATCCTCGCAGCAAGACGGAAAGCCAGCTGTGCCCACCGGGGAGCAGCCCTGGCGCCAGGATTGCTGCTGGCCAAAGCCACGCGACAGAGCCTATGGGTTGGCTATGGGCTGCGACACGTCCCGAGTGCAATAAATGAATGCTATGAGAGAAACGGCAATTCAGCGAGGCTTCCTCTTTATTTAACTGTGGGAAGATGAAAACTCGCCATCAGTGCTAACTTAGGGGGGAGTCGGGAGGTCCTGAACACAAAAAGAGGCACTGGCTCGAGAAAACGGGAGAACTGAATCAGGAAATACAAACAACAACAAAAGAAAAGGAGAAATCATTTCATGATTTCCCAACCTTCTGCTCCTCGCGCCCCGCACGTGGCCGGGAGCACCAAACCCCACAGCACAGCACTGCCCACCCGGCCCCCGCTGACACCCCCGAAGGGCAGCACTCCCACTGCAGGGCTGCGTGTCCCCTGCCTGCTCCTGCTTTCCAACCCACCAAGGAAATAAATAGAAAGCTCAGGCAAACGCTCCCGGCACGCCAATGGAACACAACCAATGATTGTCTGGAGGACGGGCAGCAAGAACAGCAGGAGCCCGCGGGCGCTTGGCACATCACCACCTCTCCATCCTCCCTCGTACAACACACAACCTCAGTTACACCATTTTGGTCCTTCACTACGTGCTTATATTAACATTATTTCTTCACAATAATGATATATCTAATGCAAAAAAAAAAAAAAAAATACTGTTAAGGAAGAAATAAAAATAAGAAAAGAATTAGCAAAAAAATTACAAAGTTATTTACAGATTAAAAGAAATTCCATCCGGAGAGGAAACAGTTCTTTATTATTTCTGTTGCCCCTGTGGGAATGGTGCCCGGGGTGGGATGGGGCCCATCTCTGTGCTCTCAGGACAGGGTGCTGTGCCACCACCAGCACAGCCTTGTGCCAACACAGGGAGCAGCTCGGCTGGGCTCAGGGCCGTGGGCACTTTCACAGAGGGATGTGGAAAACCAAAGAGGGAGGGCAAATTTTCTCAGAAAATACGCCGGTGCTGCTAATTTACCTTCTGCTCCTTCTATACTAAAGATATCCTGGATGCTCTCCTCCACGAGCTATCTAAAACCAGCCTGCTCTTGGGTGCTGACAGCACGTTATGAAGGGTTCCTAGCATAACCCCCACTTTGTGGGCAGTTGTTTCCTTTGTTTCAGTGTGCCGGGATGGGGCTCCCGTGTTGTGTTCCTTCACCCTGCACTGAGCACACCACCCATCCACAGGCAGACAAACCACACACTGCCCCTCTGACAGCAGCCACTAGCCCAGTTCTGCAGTTCCTAACCAGACCCAATGGGGAAACCAATGGGAAAACCAATGGGAAATGTTCCTCCCATGCTGGCTGGCTCTGAGCACGGTGCCACCACACCAACTCTTGCCCAATCCTTGGAACTCTTCAACTGACGATGCTGCAATTAGCAAATTCTCAGGACACACACACACACCCTCAATGTTATCCATACAGCCAGTGCTGTTCTTTGCACCAGGTCTGTTTGCTTCCCAGGCTGTGCTCCAATTCAGCAATTCGCCCTGCAGAACAGCACAAACAACAGTACTTCTGGCAGTTGTTTTGGGCCATTGAACAACAGGAGGAGACTTGGAAGAGATTTGAAATCACTCATAAAATACCTGTGAGCAATTTTAGAGTCAGAGAGATGATTCTGTTCTTGGCCGTTTGCTTGAATAGAGGGCTCAGAGCCCTGATGATGCTGAAGCTAGGACATCTTCCTATGAAAACTGATGGCCACAGCCACGCACAGCCAACCACCCACCACAACAGCACGAGCAGGATGTTTCTTCTACAACTCCCAACCACCACCAACACCCAAGAAGATATCACTGCAGGAAACAACACAGCGGCTGCAACCATCCTGACCATCTGGGCCACCTTCCCCACCCCTGATGGCTTTTCACCCTCCCCATCAGACCCAACAGCTCCAGCACAAGACCCTGGGGCAGTGCAGACCGAGAGCCATTTCTCACTCCAGAGGCTCCAGGTCCAAGCAGAGCTCCGTCTTGTGGCACCACAGAGATGGAAGTGCTCCCCACACAGCACTGCAGGCATGGACACCCAGCTGAGGACCACCAACCACACGTTTTTGTGACCCAACAGCAGCCAGACCCCAGCAGTGCTGTAGGCTGAGGAGCTCTCAGCTGGGACACCGCGACTCACGTTCAGGAGCTTTGCACAGGAAAGGTGTTTGGCCAGGAACTGAGCACAGGACAGCATTTCAGTGGGAGTACACAACTTCAGGTTCTGTTAGAGGTCAGCAAAATGGGCTGGATTACCCTTCCCTGGTGCAACTCCAGTGGCTCTGCCAGAATTGCACCAGGGACGGGGTCTCACTGGGCTCCGTTTCCTTGCTGCCTCCTCATTCAGCTGAGCTGAAGGGATGAAGCTACCCAATGGTGTCAGGCTTCCACCTCCACGAGGGCTTTGCTGGCTCAGTGATCCCATCTTGTAGTATCCGAGGGACTGATATTGGATCACACTGCTGCGATTCGTGTCTTGCTTACGCTATTCCTATTTTGGTGAAATCCTGGGGGCTGCGTCAGGGTTATCCAGTTGCGGAGAGGTTCATTGCCATAAATTACAAATCAAAACTGTGGTAAAAACGCAGGTCTGGTAGGTCAGATGCGACAGGTTCCTTTCTCAGCCCAAAGTCCAGGCGCTCCCTGAGGCCCTCGCACCCATCTTCTGCTTGCTGGGGTTTGGGGTAAAGCGCAGCACCGCCGCCTCCTCGCTGCGACTCCGGACAGAGCCCTGCGGACCTCTCAGAGGTGGTTGATGGGGTTAAAGGTCCCCGACTCTGAAGCTGCTCCTGCCATGTCCAACCAAGCACCCAGGGAGTTCTGGGAGGACGTGTGGAGGGGAGCGTTCTCAGATAGGGACAGCATCATTGCATAAGCCTGCGGGAGGAGAGAGCAACGCAGGGGACGTGTGAATACGCATGTGGGATGTGCTGCAACAACCAGCTCACAGCACCAGCTCACCAAAACGTGAAGTGGCACTGTCCCTGCCAGCAGGTCGAGATTTACATCCACATGCAGGGATGGCACCCGCCGCTCCACCTACTGGAACGTGGCAGCCTGGGGTGATGCAGAAAACCCCAGCACTCCCCACGGTTGTACAGAACCAAACGCTCCATGCCAGGCTGGGCACATGGCACACACCTCACACCTGCCTCTACCCTCTGCAGGGCAGCAAAAATCGTGCATTTCTGGGACATGGGTACAATGCTCAGTGCAGCTGGACCTGCAGTAATGCAGCTGTACTGGTGACAATACCAACCAGCCACCCGAGTTCAGAGGGTGAAGGCTGGGAGTCAGAGCTACTTGTCATGTCAGCAAGCTCATCTACCTACTGTAGGTATGTGCTGAAAGAGGTACAGCCTGGAAGTGTTAAGGACATGCATGCTTCTAAAACAGAACAACAGCCCCAAAGGACAACTCTCTGCCAAGCATTGGATAGAGCTAACAAAGTAGGACAAACATTAAAGGAGCAAGCTTTCCTACATGGTTAGTACCTTTGCCATATTAGTCACAGGACACATAAGGGACTCAGGCAAGCAGCTTGTGCTAGGTGGTAATTTGGAGCACCCTTCTTAGGGGCTTAATGTGAGAGGCACTGAGTATGCCCACTATAGTGATCTACCTTCACTCTCACAGTCTTTTGTGAGAGTCCTCCCACGTGGATCAAGGTATGAACTTCAAGAACCGAGACAACATTTTGGTGCAATGACAAAGTGGGCCTCCAGATTTTCCTCTAAACTACAAAGGTGTCACTTTGAGGCTTCTAGGTGGGTCTGAGCTGCTCGAGCTGACAGAGCAAATGCTCCTTTTGTGTTTTAGAAATCAGGGAGATAAGTGAGGAAGTTCTTGAGACCTGAAGGACTGCGAGTCAAGGCAATACTACTGTCTATTATGCTCTCTGTAATCAAATACAGTGACATTTTATTACAGTTTCCGTGGACTAAACTTGAGTTTCTTAGTATGAGCCAACTGGAGAACTATCTCAAAGTAGAAATAAACAACAGTTGGGAAAAAACATTTATACAGACATAAAAACAGACAGATGCCACTACTGTCCTACATAAGCATGTTCTCACAACACAGGGTTAATGATAAATTGAACGGGTGACCTAAAACTGATGCCCACTCCATTTCTT